GAGACAGGATCTGAAGCAGGTTCCAGGCTCCGAGCTGTCAGCACAGAGCCTGACACGGGGCTCGAACTCACGGGCTGAGCCGTGAGATCATGACCTGAGCCGCAGTCAGACACTCAACCGACCGAGCCACCCAGGCGCCCCATCTCTTTCCCTTTCAAGACCGTGTTAGGTCCGTGGCTGAGAAATCCTCCGATGGTATCCGGTACCCCGTGTGCCCCTGCACCTGGCTACAAGTTGCCAAATGGCTCAGGGAAGAGGTTGCTGAAATGGCTGTGGGTTCACAGGTGCAGGGGCGCACAGGCAGATACCCTCGTGAAGGGCGCACATACAAGGTCTGGACCGTGTGGCACAGTTACGGAAAGTCACAATGCGCGCACTAGGACTTCTCACCCGTGGGAAAGGTATGAGAGCCTGTGGGGCAAGGGTGTCCCCATCTCCGCACGGTGCATTCCTCTGGGGCAGGAAGGCAGGGACGGGGCTCCAATTTAATCCGTCGGGTTTCCCGTCTTTCAACGGAAGAGACCTGAGCCGGCGAGATGGCGGCAGCGCGTACAGCCCGGCAGAGGCCCCCGTGGAAGTGAGGCAGGGCTGAGAAAGAAGAGGCAGAAGTAGAACCAGAAGTCAGCGATTCTGAAGAGACACAGAGGGCAAAGATCAAAGCGAAGGGCAGGAAATGGAAAAAAGACTAGAAAAACAAGACCACGGTTGGAAGCACCTGCCGTGCTCCCGGGGCCCAGGCTGCAGACGGCAAGCGGGCTTGGGCGGCTCGCCAGACCCCCAGGGACCAGGCCCCGGAAATCAGCGAGCCGCAGGCCCAGCGCACGCAGCGCTCGTCTTGGCGATGGGCACGGCGACCACGGAAAGGACCCGGGATACAAGCCTCCACTCAGAAGGGGAAGAGTTGCTCCCTAATCACATGGGTATCTGGGGGCTCAGCGGAGGACATAAATCACCCAGTTTATCCTCATGCAAAGATTTCAAAAGAGGAGACATGGAAACACACCATAAGAGACTCTTAGCAATAAAGAACAAACTGACGGTTGACGGAGGGAGGTGGGTGGGGGACGGGCTAGATGGGCGATGGGCATTAAGGAGGGCACTTGTGATGAGCACTGGGTCTTGTATGCAAGTGATGAATCACTGAACTCCACTCCTGAGACCAATATTGCACTGTGTGTTGACTAAATAAAATAATTTTTAAAAAATTTCAACTTACGAAGATCTTCCCAGGTGAGAGGGAGCTGTTGTCCCAGAGCGCCAGCTAACTCTGGTTTGGCAAACTGTCATGTTGACAATAACAGCCGCTCTGTTTTATTTCTAAACGTAGATTCTGTTTTTACAATTACGGTTTTTACTAATTTTGTAAATCTTTAACACCCAACGTGGGGCTCAAACTCCCGATCCCTAGATAAAGAGTCGCAGGCTCCGCCGACTGAGCCAGCCAGGTACCCCTGTTTTGAATAATCCTTGAATAATTAACATTTTATAATGAAAGAGATCTGAAGCAGCCATAGGAGATGTTAAGGTTTGACAAGTATAATCTACGCACCCAGAAAAATGTTTTCAGCAAGACCCGAAACCCAAAAACCATGTAGAAAAAGACAGACATCTAGACATACAGGGCTCCGTAAATCTTCAACCGTGTTACTTTAAAATATCCACAAAGTCAAAAGGCAAACGATAGATAGAGAAAACATACTTACCATCTGTATGACAGATGAATGGTTAAGATCTATACTATAAAAAAGGGCTCCTACAAATTAAGAAAAGACAGTTGCATGGGGCGCCTGGGTGGCTCAGTCGGGTGAGCGTCCGACTTCGGCTCAGGTCATGGTCTCATGGTTTGTGAGTTCAAGGCCCGCGTCGGGCTCTGTGCTGACGGCTCAGAGCCTGGAGCCTGCTTCGGATTCTGGGTCTCGCTCTCTCTCTGCCCTGCCCCTGCTCACACTCTGTCTCTGTAGGACAGATGAGTGATTCATGTCTATAATATAAAAAAGAGCTCCTACAAATTAAGAAAATACAGTTGCAGAACGAGGGAAGCATATCAACAAGCAACTGACAGACAAATCTAAACTTGCAACAGACGAGCCCCTGAGCACTAGTTGCATACGTGCGTGTGCGCGTGTGTGCCAGTGTACGGAGGGGGTGGCAGGAATTAAAGTCGCGATGAGATCTCGCTTTGCCACCATCAGATTGGCACAAAGTGAAAACGTGCGCTCACACCTCTCTGGTACGGGGCGGCCGGGGGTGGCCTCCATGTCGCTGGTAGAAACGTGAATCATGAGCGTCAGGTGGAAAAGCAGCCCAGGGCTGTCAAACCCACATGCCCTTCGATGACACTCCTGAGACGGACCCAGATAAAGGCGGCTCGTTCCAGGGCGTGGAAGCGGAGGACCCTTGCAGGCCACGAAAGCTGGGAAGGAGTCAGGGCACCAGATGAGGACAGGGTGAAGAAGCCCACGATTAGCCACAGCCACGGGCACAACGTCACTAAAGCGCAAGGGGCCCTCGGGCAGTGTCTGCACCTGTCACGCAACTGCACACGCCTGCGTGTCCGGTGGCAGGGCCCCCAGAATCCCGCCAGTCCTCTCCATTGACTCGTGGTCCGTCCCCCACCCCCACGAGCCTGTATCCCATCCACGGGCAGCAAAGCCACTACAGCTATTTTCACCGGGGCGGGGGTGGGGGTGGGGGGCTCGGATTCCCAGGCTGTGGTACAGGAAAGCAAGGAGGAGACCAGGCTGAAACCCCACCGTCGCCCTTTCCGGGGACGGGCAGAGCAGCGCCGTGGGTGGGACTCTGGGCACGGAGGTGGGATGCCTGCATTTCTGATGCAACCGTCAGCCAAGTTGGACCTGTAGACTTTCAGTTTCTGTGAAGTGAGGGAGTTGGGGCAGACGGTTTCCGAGATCCCTCCCAGCTTTGGGACCTCTGAACCGTTTAGGCCCAAAGCAGGGAGAGGGCCCCTCTAGTGACCACCAGCTTCTCAGCGGGAAGAGGGACGCCACACTGCCAACAGGGCCAAGGAGAAGAGGGAAGGGCAGCAGAGCTCAGTGGGCAGGGGCAGGGGGAGGGCGGGCGGGGGCACAGCCACCTGCCTTCTTCCTCCAGGGGCCCCAACCCAGGGGTTGGGCTGAGGAACAGAAGTTTCCCACCCTCTGGCTTTGCTTGGATCAGCCGACTTAGCAAATAAAAAGACAAGATACCCAGTTCAATGTGAATTTAGGATAAATAATGAAACAATTTTCTCACTACAAGCATGTGGTATTTGGGACAGGCTGGAACTGAAACATCATTTGTGCTGCTGCGTTTTATCAGATAACCTTGGACAGAGGCCAGCAGGATAGAGGGGTTCAGGTTTCTGGAGGTCCCCACACCCTCCTGTGTCCCCTTGGGTGCAGCCCCCCCCCACGCCAGGGCCCCCCGGGCCCCCCAGCGGCGTGCACAGTTCTCCATGAAACTGTCCTGAATCACCCTAATCTGAGCCTGCCACCTGTTTCCTGTGGGGACCCAGCCTGACACAGGAGTGGAATGAAAACCAGAAGGTTCTCAGGCTTACTTATTAAATAAGTATTGGTAAAAACGAAATGAAACAAAATGAAAAGTTACTGCTCAAAGGTGTGGGATGAACACAGCTATGCAGAACCCCGACACTTCTCGGGGGACCCGCCCCGTGGGTGACAGAAACAGCTGCCGAGAGCAACCCACCCCATATGAGACCCTGGTCCCCTCTCCCTCCACCCACCCACCCTCACCTCTCACTGGGCCCCCGCAGGACAGGACACGGGACGCAGGACACACATCTCCCGGTCCTTCCTCCCTCCGGCCTGAGGGAAGGGTGGCCGTCCTGGCGACCCCCAGAGCGCTGTTCCCTTCTAAGGCATCCGGAGCCTTTAACACACTGCCATGGAACAAAGCTGTCTCCCCAAGCAAATGCCAGCCTGTTCCTCACGCACTGGCGCGTCCCGCCTCTGGGCCCCAGACCCCGGGCCAGGCCACACCATCCGCCCAGGCCTTGTGGGAGGGGCAGAGCTCAGCTGGCCGCTGCCCAAGCAGAGGCAACGCTCGTGGGCCCCCACCCGTGGGGTTCTTTGGGCGGTGGCCTGGCCAGGACCCACCACCCGCTCGTGGGGTGCCCAGCTGGGACAGAACATCCAGTACGGGGACCCGGTTTCCACAGCAATGGTCCACATGGCAACCCGCAGGCTCCAGGAAGAGGGGCCTGGGGGGACACTGAGTGGGTGCGTGCAGGCAGCCCGTCCCGAGAGGCCGTTTGGAAGGAACACAGTGTCCTCTCGAACGCTGTCTTCACCTCTGTTCCTACAGACTGAACGCCTCTCAGACAGCGGGGGATAAAACAGGCGTCTAAAGAGCACATTAAAAAAATGGAAAAAAAAGAGCACATTAACAAGCGGAAGAAAGAACACGAACAGCACGGCCTTCAAGGGTCCGAAGAGGGCAGAAACCCTCAGCCTCTCTTCGGCCACAGTGTCACCCCTGGGCTCGCTGCTTCGGACACTGTTGTCTGCACGAGAAGCATGGGGGGGGGGTTCAAGATGCCCACTCCAGGGCCCTGCCTGACACGCCATCAGGAGACCGTGGTTCCTGAGGGCCTGGGACGGCAGGGGTGTGGGGCTGGCTCCTGCCCTGCTCTGGGTCTCTCCATGGAAACAGACACGTGACACTTCAGTAACCACTGCTGCGGAGGACATCTGAGCCACACCCTGGCCCTGAGGGCAACGTTGCGTTGAGAATTCAACTTTTGACATCTGTGTTTCTTCATCCGGACGGCCCTGTCTTGTTCCGTGAAGGGTCTGCGGTGACGTGGCTCCTTCCGTGTGACCTGCTGTCAGCACGGCCGTCACTGATGCCACATCGGTCTGCTCAGCATGGGTTTGTGACTCAGTCTCCCCGTCAGCAGCCCACGGACGTGACCTGAACCGCGAAGCCATTGCAGACAAACGTTCCCCTGCCGCCATGAGAGTGATGGATTTCTCGGGCTCGTTTTACCCCCACGTTTTATTTGGAAAGAATTTCAAAGTACAGAAGAGTTACAAGAGCAGGACAATGAGTCCCTGAACCCCCTGCACTTAGCTATTTTGCTTTATCTCTTTGAAAGTAAGTGGCACACAGCATAACATCTCACCCCTAAATACCGAAGCCCGTGGCTTCGGAGGAAGGGACGGCCCTCCACGGAGCCCTCGCATCTGTCACACCCGGGAAGGAAATTTCACACCGGCGACACGGCGGCGATCGGTGGCTGGAAGCGGCTTCTCTCCGCGCTTTAACGTGCCTTCCCATCCGGAGGAAGTCTCCGGCCGGTGTTTAAACCGGTCAGAAACAAGAAGGCGCAGTGGAACTGGAGCACGTCACACACTTTGGACCAGAAGTGGCCCGTGAGCCGCTGGAAGAGACGCCACCGAGCGAGCTGGTGGTCACACAGCTTGAGGACCACGAAGCCCGCGCAGGACAGCACGCCCAGCGCCAAGTGCCTTCCCGAGGAGGCGCCGCCGTGGCGCCCGTGAGCGTGCAGGGCCCGGCCCACGGCCGCCGCGATGTGTGCAGCCAGCGCGGCCTCAAAGCCGTAGGGGTGCAGCCAGGCGAGGCCGTAACTGCCGAGGGAGAGGCCCTCGATGGCCAGGAACAGGCCGGGCCTCCAGCCCCTGTCCAGGGAGAGGCACCAGGCCGCGGGCCACGCGAAGATGGGCAACGTGAGCCACTGGTCCAGCACAGCGGCGCGGTGCGTCTGCGTGGCGACCCGCAGCCACTGCACCGGGCCGTACACCAGGGCCATGGCGGCGAACACGTCCTTCAGGTAGCGAGCCCTCCGCGCGTGCACGGGGTGCCCCAGGGGAACCGCCTTCCTCCGCAGCCAGTACACCCCCAGGAGCACGTAGGCCACGTTAACGAGTGAGTTGAAGGGCATGGCCAGGAAGACGGGGAGGCCGGCGACCGGGGCTTCAGCGTAGTGTTCGTAGCCCACTTGAATGGAGACGCCGTCGAAAACCCCCGCGTAGACGACGGCCAGGCAGAAGCAGCTGGCCACAGCCACGTGGCACAGCGCCCGCGTGGACTCGGGCTGCATGCGGAACCGCAGGTGTGGCTGGCAGGTCAGAACTCACACACTCGGCTTCCGCCAAGCGACGCGCCCCGGCCCCCCTCGCTGGGCCAGCCGTGGCTCTGCCGACCGGGGAGCAGAAGCGGAAGGGCCTTCTGCCTTTTTCCTCTGTGGTTACAAAAAGAGGGTGGTTAGAAAGAAAACCATCCAGGGGGCGCCTGGGGGGCTCAGTGGGTTAAGCCACCGACCCCGGCTCAGGTCATGATCTCGCTGTTCCTGACTTCGAGCCCCAAGTCCGTGCTGACGGTGCGCGGAGCCTGCTTGGATTCCCTC